CCGCGCGCCAGCGCCGCTTCCAAGAGAGCATCGAGCTCTGCAGCGACATCCTCGAGACGAACCCGTACGACCAAGTACGCGCATGAGCTTGTAGTCGTCGTCGCAGGCGATGGACATGGACCGTAGGCGGTCTGGCTCCTCAAGTGTCGCGTCGTGACGCAGCAAACGTACATGGACGACTCGGAGATGGAGGAAGACGGCGCCGCAGACTTGCTCCTTGACGACAATGCGCTGGCGAGCATGCCCCGGTGCGCGATTCCTTGCCGGCGGTCGTCGCATGGTATCGTTCGCATAGGCCTGGCACGTCGCTGAGCCGACCCATGACGCGCGCCAACGTCAACTCTGGCGACCAGAGCTTCCGGCCCATGTCCGCGAGTGGGCGCCCGCTCAGCGGCTTTGCCCGGCCTGGCACCGGGTCACGCCCGGGCACGGGGCTGTCGCTGGACCAGGCCTTGCAGGGCGCCCGTCCAGGTACCCTCTTTCTAGATTGCTGCAGTGCTTATGGATGCGTCGCAGGCACGTCGCGGCCGCCGACGTCGCTCGGGCGGCAAGTGCGCCTCGGCACCGCGTCGATGCAGAGCCAGGGCGACGGCGGCGCCTTCATCAGCCCCGACCGCCTCGACATGAAGCGGTACGCGGCGCGCCCACCGATCGCCAAGGCGCTCGTTGACTACTTGCTGTACCACGACCACAACCCAAAGAAAGCGCTGGAGCTCGCGGCCGAAGCGACCGTGGCCGTACGTCTGCACGCGTTGCCTCCTCGCGTCTCAGCACAATAACACATTAGGCCGACTACAAGGACTGGTGGTGGAAGGCGCGCTTGGGCAAGTGCTACTACCAGCTCGGGCTGCTGCGCGACGCGGAGAAGCAGTTCGAGTCGAGTCTCAGAAGCCAGGAAATGGTCGTCACGTACCTCGAGCTCTGCAAAGTGTACTTGAAGCTCGACCAGCCCAACACGGCGCTCGAGTACTACCGGCGCGCAAGGTAGTCCATGCATTCTAGGATACGGTCTGGACGCCGCAGTAGCGAAAAGTTTCCCGGCGACGTGCACGTGCTCGTGGGCATGGCGCGCATCCACGACATGCTCAACGACGTCGACAGCAGCGTCACCGTCTACAAAAAGGTAGCACTCGAGTCGTGTTGCTCGAGACCACTGGCGTTGCTAGGTGCTGGACGTGGACCCGGCCAACATTGAGGCGATCGCGTGCCTCGCGTCCAACAACTTTTACAACGACCACGTACGCCTCGTCGCATCCGCCAATGTTCTAGCGTCGCGTAGCCCGAGGTCGCGCTGCGCTACTACCGCCGACTGTTGCAAATGGACGTCAACAACACGGAGCTGTGGTGCAACATTGGTCTCTGCTGCTTTTACGCGTCCCAGGTACGCGTGCTTGGACGCCAACTCAATTGACACTTGGAGTGCTAGTATGACATGACGCTCTCGTGCTTTGAGCGCGCACTCGCGATGGCGTCGGACGACAACATGGCCGACGTCTGGTATACCGCGTTTGAGATCGACAAAAGTCTTGATGCAGTGTGCTACAGGTACAACATTGGCCAGGTCGCGATTGGCATTGGGGACCTGGGGCTTGCGTACCAAGCGTTCAAGATCGCCGTGTCCGTCGACGCCAACCACGCCGAGTCGTACAACAACCTTGGGGTCGTTTTTATAGATGTGTGTTTTGTGTCGTCTGACGGTCCCGTGCAGGTGCTCGAGCTGCGCAAAGGCAACGTTGAGCAGGCGCGCGCCAACTTTCAGCTGGCCGACAATTTGGCCAACTTTATGTTTGAGCCGAGTTACAACCGAGGTGCTACTCCATCGAATGGACTGTGCGACAACTACGTGTATACGTAGCGCTGCTCGCGTACAAGGTCGGCGACTTTCAGGACGCGTACACCAAAGTGACCAAGGCACTTCAAGTATACCCGGACCACGCCGACTCGGTCGAACTCAAGCGCCAACTCGAACAGTTTCTCACCATGATCTAAGATTCCCGTCCAGGATGATCTATACAATGTATGTCTCATCGTCGGCAGATGAAATTGATTATTCCATGGCAGCAAAACCGCTTGCAGGATGCCTTGGAGTATATGACAGCAACGCTCTCTAGATGGGAGCAGCGCGAGTCTTGAAGCGGCGCGGCGTCATGGACGCAGCACAACCTTACATTTCATGTTTCAGCTCGTGGTGGTGGTGGGTGCCCGAGTGTCGCGAGTCTCGGCCAAGGCCCATCATATTATTTGTACGAGAACACGGAGCGTTTGTCGTCGATGCGCGATGGCGAGGGTCCATCAACCATGATTTCAGAAGACTCCTGTACAAATTGTCCCTTCTCGACGCGACGATCGCACAGCCCATCTTGGTGGACAAGACAGAAAATGAAACTTATGTATTGTTGTTTTTGATATGCAAATATAAAGAGTTAGATGGGCGCGAGCGCCGCCTTTTGCCACGTGTCGGTCGACGAGCAAATGTAGATGTACGACGCGTCAAACAGGATGGTACCCTTGGCGCACGGCGTCGCCGACACGGGTGTGCTTGCGCTGCCGTCCAGCACGACGGACCCGCCCGTGAAAACGACACTGGGCGAGCTGATCGTGAGCGACGTCGAGCCCGAGTGCGTGATCAGCGCGAGGTTGCTCGAGAGCGTAATGTCGCCCGCGATACTCACGGCGCCCGAGGCTGCCGTGACGACAAAGACTTGACTCGCGCCGTTGGACGTCACGAGAAAATCGTTGGCGCTGACGTGCAAGTGTCCGCCAGCAACGACGGTCGACGTGCCCGTGATCGTAACCGACGTCGACGCCGTCAACGCCATCGTCGATGTACTCGAGAGACTCATGGACGCACTAGTGCCCGTCAAGACCGAAGCGCTGATCGTGAGCAGCGCGTTGCTCAAGGCGTCGAGCACTCGAACACTTCCTTCGGTGGTACCCGCGCCTGCTTGCAGCGTCACACCACCACCGGCGCCAGACGTCGTTGCCGCCCCGCCCGCAAGCGTGATGGCACCACCGACTGCCGTGCCACTGCCAGCCGTGAGACCGATCGCACCGCCCGTAGACGACGACGCAGTCGAGGTCCCCGCTGAGATGGCCACGGCACTGCCACTGCCAGTGTCAGCAGCACCGACACTGAGTGTAATGGCACCACCGGCACCGCCCGTCGCGTCCGAGCTCTGAAGCGTAATCGCGCCCGTGCTACCAGCCGTTGACGTCCCAGAGCTGAGCGTCAGCGCACCACTCGACTTGGACGTAACCGATGCAATCGTGACCGTACCACTTGCAGCCGCCGTACCAGCACCCGTCGTGATGGCGATGTTACCACCGACACCTGCAGAGCCTGCGCCAGCTGTGAGTTTTGCGTCGCCACCGAGACCGCCGACACCAGCGACCAGAGATGCCGCGCCACCAGCAAACGCCGCCGCTGACGTTCCGCCTGCTGTGATCGTAGCAGCACCACCGGCACCCGTGTTACCACCACCGACGCTGAGAGTGAGAGCACCGCCCGCGCCGCCGACGGCACTTGCCGATGTGATCGAGATGCTACCCGAACTACCGCTGGAGGCGGCACCGGAGCTGAGGGTCACGGAGCCACTCGATGTGGAACCAGCCGTCGTGATGGACATCGCACCGCTGGACGCACTTGACCCAGCACCACTGGTCAGGGTGAGAGCACCACCGGCGCCCGACGTCGTTGCCGCCCCGCCCGCAAGCGTGATGGCGCCACCGACTGCCGTGCCACTGCCAGCCGTGAGACCGATCGCACCGCCCGTAGACGACGACGCAGTCGAGGTCCCCGCTGAGATGGCCACGGCACT